AAGGAAGGAATAAGGAATACAGTGGTTATAACAAGGCACTACATGAGTTGGAGGTGGATCATACATAGAAATACATTTAGTGTTTCAACATCCAGGCGTGCAAAATGTGGGAATTCTGCATGGTTTTATGAGTTTGTGGCTGCAAAGCATGTGGATATCATGGAAGTGCCAAACGGCGTTTGCACGATACTGCCGACGCCTATTACGTTACAGCATACTAGATATGCATATTAGCCTTGTATCATTTAAACTGATAAGCTTCACTTACTCCAAACTCTTACTGAAGCATGATGGAAGAAAATATGAGTGCCAGTCTAGATAGCAGATGGTTCATTCCATCTTTAAGTTCAGAATTCAGTATTACTCAATGTAACTCTTAGTAACAAAAGCATGCCGTATCCACAGTGGTGGTTTACTCACAACTATGTGATAAATATTTCTTTGTAAATTTTGCATCTGTTTAGTGCCATCCAGCAAGAAGCACTATACTTCTGCTAGTTCTAGATTTGGGATAACAATAATTAACTGTAAAATTATGATGATATATCAAATGTACGTGTTTATCCTATTTAATTTCTTCTTTGGTTATGCTATGAATTCTGAATGTTGGTCTATAGAATTGCTTCATTGAAAACTCCACATAGCAGTTCCTTACTTTACTTTTACCATATACTCCCTCCGTCCCAAAATATAAGAACGTTTTTGACACTATGCTGTCCAATGCTTGATTGAGAACGTTTTTGACACTATGCTCCGTAATATTTTACTATATGCTGTCCAATGCTTGATTGAGAACTCCACGTCGCAGTTTCTTAGTTCACTTTTACTATACTCTGCCCATCTACATTTCTGATGTCATAACATCATTCTAATCAGGTTTTCAAGAGTGGACATCTCTTCATATCATCCAAAGGTACAGTCTTTGACTTCCCCTCTCTAACTAGCTGTTCCACCCAGTTTAGCGACATGGATAAGAAAAATTAAGAAGCAAAATGTTTCCATGTGTTCTAGTATTGTCGTGTTAAGCCTTTAAAGCAACATTGGCATGCATACTTCTTTCTTTTTCTTGTGATTATCAGAGGGACCTGTGCAGATATGCACTGGCACTTTTAATATGACTCTTCCATTTAGTTTAATCGGTTGCTTAGGTTCTGTAGCTAAGTAGGCGCACATGAATGTTGGGTAGTTCTCTAAGGAGGAAATCACCTTTAAATTCACGAACTTCAAAAATTTAAGAGTTATCTAAAGAGAAGTTTTTCTTGATGATAAGATATGTTTCTTACCAATAACATATATGAGGAACAGAAATATGTGGTCATGTACATAGTTCCATCGTCACTGTCAAGTTTGTTAGCTTGTCTCGTGTACAGAAATTTGGCCACCAAATCAGTGAACCATATTAATCCTTTGCATATCTGAATCATGGTCTGATATCACACACTATGGTATTTGGGTTCAATTTCACATGGCTGGTTATGGTTATCTGATACAGTTTTTGGGTACCATGACTATGGTATTTGGGTTCAATTTCATGTGGCTGGTTATGGTTATCTGATACAGTTTTTGGGTACCATGACTTTTTTCCTAACGGGAAAGAGAATACTTACATATTTGCTTTTCAGGACTTGGATGGAAATCATGGAAAAAACGCTGGTTCATTCTCACACGAACATCATTAGTTTTCTTCAAGAGTAATCCTGTTAGAACCTCTATTCTCATAAGTTTCCTTTTCATTTGTGAGATGCAATACTTTACATTTATACATCTTAAGGCTCAAGATACGATTATTACTATTATGATGACCATGCGTTTGAAATTTTTCTCCAAAAGCTTAACTCCTCAACTATAACACATCATGAAGTAAAATGCCTTTAACCCTTAAATTTGTGGAACATGAGAGAGACGTACCCAAGCAGCTGCTCGATCTGGTGTGACGCAGCCTCGTGATCAGATCCTCTTGTACGTCAAAGAATGGGCCTGGGTGATGTAGGGTGTAACCCTAATTTGATGATCTTTTCACACTTGGAGGAGGAAAAGGTGAAATCAACAAGAACAACAAGAGGAATCACTCAAGCAAAATCCAAATCACACATCTGCTAGAATAACATACATGAGATCCTCAAGCATAACATGAACAATCAAGGGAAAATAGCACAAAGGTAAGGTTCTTCCCAAATCCAAAGGAGATGAGGTCTTGATAGTCCTCTCCACAAGGGAGGTCTTGATATCCACCTGGGGATCTTCTCCTAAGAGGTCTTGATCTCCAAGAGGAGGGGTAGATGAGCAAAGCTCTCTCTAGAATATCTCAATATACTTTGCGAACCCTCATTCGTCCAACTGAAGGGATATATATAGTATAGGGAGAGAGAGAGGGGGATACATGAGTCAAAACCCGAGTGGCTGCGCACAGGCAGTTCCAGACGTCCAAAGGTTATCGGTCACCCGGTGTCCCGCGAGGGACCGGACGTCCGGTGTAGCAGCGCAGCATGTCTACTCTCAAAAGCTTGATCTATGCCTTTTAAAAACTGCATCACACGCCTGCGCTCAACCCACTTCCTGGCAATCTCCATGGACTTTGCATGTGGAAGCTTAAGGGGATCACACTGATCCAGATCTACCCAAAGGTGTTGCAGCTCATTCACATACACAGCACGCTGCTGTCACCTTGACGAACAACATAGATCTTGTCTTCAATTTGAGACATGAGCATGAGGTTTCCCTTACCGGCATCCTTACCGCTATACCTCGTGGACAGCATGCTCCACAACAGAAGTATTTGACAATGCCTCAACACACACTGCAATGGTTGGAATCAGGGAGTTCAACATCCAGGCCAGTACCAGGGAGTCAGTGACACTCCACTTCTTCCATTCTGAGCTCTCCTTGTCAGCCGGTTCTTCAACTGTTCCAAGAACATTTCCTGTCAGGACATTTGTCTTCAAGATCAACAAGGCCTGCCTCGACAAGCTCAGGTAGCTGCCCACACTATTCAACTTGACATCATTGGGCATGAGCTCAGGCTTTGGGGCTCAACAATGGCGCCACTTGCAGGAGGTAACCCCTCGGCAGCTTTTGCAGTCATGAGCTCCGCAAGTTTCTCTATAGCAAGTTTCTCAACAATGGACCAGTTCGTCCCCTTCCCTGCTGTTGATGCCAGCAGCCGTCTGCGCTGCCTTCTCGCGCAGTCGCGGCACGAGCTCGCACGCAGCTCCGCCTCCTCGTGGGCTGCTCGTTCAGATTCACCGCCTCCTTGCCGGATCCCACCGCCTCACCGGCTGTCGTCTCACGCCCCGTGCCCTGATACCATGTGGAATGTGAGAGAGACGTACCCAGGCAGCTGCTCGATCTGGTGTGAAGCAGCGCTCGTGAACAGACAACGTCTGGTTCCTCTTCTAGGTCAGAGAATGGGCCTGGGTCACAGTGGAACATGGGCTCACATACAACAAAATTACTAGATAATAGATATGACATGACTCTTCATGTTGACAGTAGGTTAAAACGCGCACTTGGACTCTTGGATATGTTCCCTCTCCATTGCCTTCTTCCCTTGGACAATTAATTTGATTGGTCCATTTGGTTCCAGTATTCGTTGCATCTTCTGCATGCATACTGAACTGTTGTCATGCATGAGTATTCAATGTCTAGGTGCTGATGTCAGATTGGTTACTCAATATGACAACATACTTAGGTTGAATATAAGATTTCCCTCATGTTATTTTGGATTCAGTGGTTCTGTACATAAGTTGCATGATAATAAATGCGATTACTGGTGAATGATAATGCATGGTCCGTAGCTGTGCCAAGCAATTTGTTCTTTCCATAGTGGTAAACCAAATGGGGAGTTTCATTGAACTTTTTGGTGGCTATTCTGCTCTCTGTATCTCAGCAGTTGAATTTAGGCCTTCTGTGCGCACACTTTGTTGTTGTTGTGCGCACACCTTTTCTTCTCACTTGACAGGTTCCTTTTGTGATGTTGCAGAATACCTTGCCCCAGAGAAGTGGTGAAGTGAGTGCTACTCTGGGTGGGATTGATTTAAACAATTCTGGCAGGTATTTATCTCATTCTATTAACACCTTTTCTTTTATGGATGTTGTGCGGGGCATTAATACTATATCAAAGTATATTTCTTGTGCAGTGTGGTAGTCAGAGAAGACAAAAAATTGTTGACTGTCCTTTTCCCACATGGTCGTGATGGTCGTGCCTTCACCCTTAAGGTACGACCTACCAACTTAATTATTAGCTGCTGAGAAAAAATGAGTGGTAATAGTATAAAAATAATGCATCATCATGTTCCATCTATATTTTGAATTATGCTTTTGCTTCATACAGGCAGAAACTTCTGAAGATTTATTTGAGTGGAAAGCAGCATTAGAAGAAGCTCTTGCACAGGCTCCAAATGCAGCTCTTGTGATGGGGCACAATGGGATATTTCGCAATGACACTTGTGATGCATATGAAACAACGGCTCCAAATTGTTGGTCCCATTGTGCTGCTGCATATATCTCCAGAGCTTTAGACCCTTTTTCCAGTTCAATCATACCGTGCCCAATTGTTTGCAGGGCGAGAGAAAAGGCCAGTCAAGTCACTAGTTGTTGGCAGGCCAATTCTGCTTGCGCTCGAAGATATCGATGGCAGCCCTTCTTTTCTAGAAAAAGCCATGCGTTATCTTGAGAAACATGGTGGGCATACAAGTTATGCTAACTAATAAGAACCAATTCTAGAACCTGGAAACTCTAGATGTTGCTAAAAGTTATCTTTATAACATCTCATTCCACTTGTGACATAAATCTGTTGTTACAGGGATAAGGGTGGAAGGAATTTTGCGCCAGGCTGCTGATGTGGAGGAGGTTGATAGGAGGCTACGTGAATATGAACAAGGTTTATGTCAATATCTTAATCTAACTTTGAACTACTCTGTCTTGGTTTCCTTCTGCCAATCAAGAGTGTACAATCCAAATTTTGTGACTGTTTCTATTTCATACCAGGAAGAACCGAGTTTGCACCAGGCGAGGATGCACATATTGTTGGTGACTGTGTGAAGGTATCTCACTCATTTAGTCATTCTAGTTATTAGAATAATTATGATGCTCCCAAAAGCATGGATTTTTTTTCTTTTACTAACTGCACTCGTGGAAACATCTCGGCAGCATGTTCTTCGTGAGCTACCATCTTCGCCAGTACCTTCTTCTTGTTGTACAGCTTTATTGGAAGCTTTTCGTAAGTTTTCTGTTAAATTTATTCTTAAATGTTTGTGCACTGTTTTGTGGAATGTCATGTACGAAATGTTGGCATTGAATATCTCAATTCTTTCTACAGTTTGAAATAACCACCCCCACCTTGAAGTTAAAATTAGTAGTGATAATTCATTGATATATGTGCCTAGCACCATCCCCTCTGCTGCCAGCAACATGACAATGCTGTCTTTATCTATTTGATTTGATTTGTTGATCTGGGAGTATACACATTTGATGTTAAATACATCTCCTTAGCATGTGAAATTTAACCATCCGTGCTTTGGAATGGAATTTCTTGTGCGGGTATCCTTTATCTTGGAACAGTGTATGCAAAGTACATAAAATACAAGCATATGTGCCACATTCACTCTCTTATGTTTATTGTTCCACATGATATAGGAACACTGTCAAGGTACAATTTTACAAGCAGTACAGATTGCATAGGATACAAAACTAAATCCTTTGTGTGGACCCATTCATAAGAAGCATATGCTTACCTCCAATTTTGGTTCTGTCCTTTACATTTGATAAAGCCTGTAAATGAAGAGGAAGTGAGGAGAGTTCCCATGTGAATCGTGCAGTTGTTATGGCCAGGCCTAGTTACGGCTCTGAGTATTGACAGTAAGGCTCTATACCCTCGCCTTCATCTATCCATTGGTAGGGCTTTTTGTTGCCGTTGTGGAGGGGCTCTGGAGCCTACTGGAGAAGTGAGAGATTGAGACCAGAAAATCTTGTTTATTTATTGCTTCACTGAAAGTGATAATATGCCATGCCTTATATATAGAGATGTAAGATTTGATAGAGTGTTTTGTATGCGGTGCACTTGTATTCCTTTACATCGGGGTAATTTATACAAAAGCTCACAGATCAGCTAACAGAATTCCTAAAACTAGACAAGAGAAAGAGGGGAAAGTGAGGGAGTGGGTTAGCTGATCCTGGAGAATCAGTCACCTATACGTGCACTACCGAAACGGCTGCCATGGCAGCGGATATCGCCTAAGTGCATCTCCAACAGATGATGTAAAAGTTGGTGCGCGGAAATGATTTTAGGGCAGGAGACAGAAGGTTTTTGGGCACATATACAACACAAATGGGGATACATACATAGGCATACAATTGCCACATGAATACATCAAACATCATACAGAAGAGCAACATCTGACTATGGATGAAATCAAACGAAAAACACAAACGATATCCACCCTGCTAGCCCAGGCTGCCGACCAGGAACCTATCCCTCGATCGAAGAAGAAGCAGAAGAAGAACTCCAAAGCAAGCAAGCATTGCTCTCACGACATATCATCGCATTACCTGTACCTGCATTTGTGGGTGTAGTAATCTGTGAGCCATGAGGACTCAGCAATCCCATTACCATGGGTATCAAGACTAGCAAAGCCTAATGGGATGGATAAGTGATGACGTTGCAGCAGGTACTATACATTGTATGGTGGCTAACTTACGAGTACAAGAGTAAGAAGAGCAACTACACATAACGGTCGCAAACTAGTAATGATCAAGAAGTGATCTTGAACTACTTACGAGTCAAACATGACCCCATCGTGTTCTCTTCCCAAACTTCCTCGGAAAAAGACAATCACAGTTACGCACGCGGTTCGTGTATTTTAATTCGGGTTTAGTGTCAAGTTCTCTACAACCGGATATTATAAATTTCCAAGTTGCGACAACCGCGAGCACGGCTTCCGAAAAGATTTAACCTTGCAGGGGTGCTTCAAGTGGTCGATTATAAATTACCACGTGCATCCGATGGAACATCCTAACACCATGAAGAACACGAAGCTTACGATAAGGAATTCCGGTGGACCTGCCTCTTGTCAAAGGTAAAAATTAAACCAGCAAGACCGCCCATGTGTCGACAAATCCCGATAGGAGCCGCGTATCTCGTTCTCAGGGCACGACCGGATGGGACAAGCTACGAGTAAAACCTGTCCTCGAGTTTCCTCGTGGTGGCCCCGCAGGCTGCCCGTTTTGCACCAACACCATCAGCATTGGCCTACCTGTATTATGTTGAATTAAGAATCCTCGGGTAGCGCTAACTCCCATTATCAGTATTATTATGTTGGCAAATTTAAAAACTTGGGCCTTGCTGGTAGAGTTCTTTCCTAAGTGATTGGTCAGGGGGTTCCTATACACCCACATGTGTTAGGAGCACTCGTCAAGGAACATAACACCGGTATGACGGAAACTAGGGCGGCAAGAGTGGAACAAAACACCAGGCAAAGGCTGAGCCTTCCACCCTTTACCAAGTATATAGATGCATTAATTAAATAAGAGATATTTGATATCCCATGATATCCATGTCCTAACATGGAACAACCTCTAACTAGCAACGCTATAAGAGGGGCTGAGCAAAGCGGTAACATAGCCAAACAACGGTTTGCTGGGATGGTGGAAAAGGTTAGAGGTTTATCATGACAATTTGGGAGGCTTGACAAACAAGAGGTAGGTAGCGCGACATAGCGATAGCATCGAGACAACTAGCAAAGCAAAGATAGTAGTGATATCTAAGGTAATGGTCATTTTGCCTAAAATCCTGCTCGGAAGATGATGAGGAACAGTAGATGAGGAACATGAAAAATATAATCATATGTCAAATCTGTTTGGCTACTTCTAGATACTTCTGTTGTGGTCTAGTATTTTTTTTCTTTTCTTTATCCTACCTACTGTTTTCTAGAGTCTTCTAGTTGTGAGTAGCTATGAGTAGAATGGTGAACCTTAAATAATGTTTCTAGAGTATTCCAGCTATAAGTAGAAGTATGTGAAGGCTTCCCAAAGCCCTATAAATAGAGGTCCTCACCTCTACTTTGTACCCAGACTATGTACCCCTACCCATAATAAAACTTGTTGTTCTTATCTAAGATCTTGGAGTAGATCTTGTCCCCTAGGAGTTCTGGATTGAACTCTTGCTGCCCTATCAGCCTACATTCGCCACTAGAGCGATATCTAGCGCAGCACGTTGAAGCTGTTCCTTCAACACTTGTGCTGTACACATTGTAGCAGCAAGGTGGAGTTGCTCCTCCACAATCTTTGTGCTGCTTCAGGTGGTATCAGAGCCTCGTTGACCCATAATCGTTCTTGCTGTCCTCTTCGAGAGTAAGTTGCAGCAAGCAATGGAGCAATTGGAGAAGAGGATGGATGCTGCTGAACAACAAATCAAAGGGCTGCGTGAAGATCTAAATAGGAGATTTGACCAGCTGGTTGAGATGATAAGAAAGGGTGTCCCCCCTGCTACCCATGAAGGAGATTCATCTAAAGTAGAGGAAGATGTTCATCAAGGAAGAAGGAGAGGTAATCTTGGATCAAGACCGCCACGACAACATGTTGTTCAACGTGCTTCAAGAAGGCCAATTTATGTTGAGGCTTCTGAAGGTGAAGAATATGATGATGCCCTTGAAGAACCAAATCTCTACGCATATCGGAGAGCACCCAACCCTACATATGCAAGAGATACATACAAGGTGAAAGCTGAGATCCCAAGTTTTAATGGAAATGTTGACATTGAAGGGTGCCTGGATTGGTTATATGAAGTGGAGACTTTCTTTGAGGTCATGGAGGTTCCGGAAGATCGTAGAGTTTCTTTGGTCGCATACAAGCTGAAAGGAGGAGCCGGTGCATGGTGGCATCGCGTTCAAGAGGAGCGCAGGCTGAGAGGAGAACCTCGTGTTAGAACTTGGCGACAAATGAAAGGCCTCTTGAAAGGGAGATTTTTGCCCGCTGATTATGACCAGATCCTATTTATCCAATTTCAAAATTGTGCTCAAGGAAATAGGGCTGTTTCAGATTACACGGAGGAGTTTCTAAGGCTACAAGTGAGGTGCAACCTTGCTGAAACTGAAGAGCAACAAGTTGCAAGGTACATCAATGGTCTCAATGATGCTATTCAAGATCGATTGATGATGCAACAAATCTGGTCCGTTGATCAAGCACAAGCTCTAGCCTTAAAGGCCGAGAGGTTTGTGAGGATGAGAAAGACAACTAAGGCTCCATATCCTCCATATCCTCATACCGAAGGCTCATCTAGGAGCCAACCTAATAGAGTGGAAGAAAAGACCACTCCACCAAAGACAAAACAGCCCATCCCGAAGCAAACTAGAGGCAAGGGTAAGGCAAATGAAGGCCCAAAGTGCTATAAATGTGGTAAAGAGGGACACATATCCAGCAGTTGCCCACTAAGGAAATTTGTTAACACGACTATCCATGATGGTGAAAGCGATGAGGAAGAATACGAATCTGAAGATGTAGACGGACAAGAGGTTTGTCAAGAAGAAGGTGAAGAGGTGGTATGTGTGATCCAGCGTGTCCTATGTTCCACACCACAACTCGATGACACAATGGAAGAAAATATTTGAGAGCAAATGCACGGTGAATGGCAAGGTATGCAAACTAGTGATTGATAGTTGCAGCTGCGAGAATCTTATCTCCCAGAAGTTGGTGGACCATTTAAAGCTTGAAACCCATGATCATCCAAATCCCTACACTATTGGATGGATCAAGAAAGGAGTGAATATGAGGATCACCAAACAATGCAACCTGCCACTTTCTTTGGGTAAGCATTATCGCTCAAATGTGTTGTGTGATGTGGTTGACATGGATGCCAGCCATGTTCTTCTTGGGAGGCCTTGGCAATTTGATGTGGATACTACACACAAGGGCAAGGAAAATTCTTACTCTTTCATTTGAAACAAGAGAAGGATCATTATCTTACCAAACAAAACCGAAGGTAATACCTCTAAGGAGGAGGGGAAAACTATGTTAACTATCTCCCATACCTCTCATGAGTTTATGGAAGACTTGAAGGAGGCAGATTTGTGTGCTGCACTTGTTGTGAAGGGAGAAGAGCACCTGACTGTTGAAATTCCAGCAAAGGTACGTGGTTTATTGGCAGAATTTCAGAACATACTTGGGGAGCCACATGGCTTGCCACCGATGAGAGGAATTCAACATAGAATTGACTTAAATTCCGGG